CTACCTTTACACACACTCCCAAACTCATCCACTAACCTTTGCAATTTTTCTTTAGAATCTCCCATAAGCACAGTATCATCAGCAAAAAGTAACTGTGTCAATTCTCATTTTGTATTTGATTCCCCATAATTAAATCCCATCCCTCTCCCGAACACCCTAGCATTTACTTTTTTTTACAACCCCATCTATAAATATATTAAACAACCATGGTGACATTACACATCCCTGTCTAAGAACGGGAAGTAGTCTTCCTCTCTTCTACACACCCTAATCTGAGCCTCACTATCCTCATAAAAACTCTTTACAGCATTTAGTAACTTACCACCTATTCCATATACTTGCAACATCTGCCACATTGCTCCCCTATCCACTCTATCATATGCCTTTTCTAAATCCATAAATGCAATAAAAACTTCCCTACCTTTATCTAAATACTGTTCACATATATGCTTCAATGTAAACATTTGATCTACACATCCCCTACCCACTCTGAAACCTCCTTGCTTATCCGCAATCCTACCTTCTGTCTTACCTCTAATTCTTTCAATAATAACCCTACCCTACACTTTTCCTGGTACACTCAATAAACTTATTCCTCTATAATTTTTACAATCTCTTTTGTCCCCCTTCCCTTTATATAAAGGGACTATACATGCTCTCTGCCAATCCTAGGTACCTTCCCCTCTTTCATACATTTATTAAACAAAAGTACCAACCACTCCAACACTATATCCCCCCTGCTTTTAACATTTCTGTCATGATCCCATCAGTTCCAGCTGCTTTACCCCCTTTCATTCTACGTAATGCCTCACGTACCTCCCCCACACTTACATTCTGCTCTTCTTCACTCCTAAAAGATGGTATACCTCCCTGGCCAGTGCATGAAATTACCGCCTCCCTTTCTTCAACATTTAACCCTTTGACTGTTTCAGGCCCCTTTCTGAAACTGTCATTCTATGTTGTTCAATTTTAAAAAAAAAAAAAAAAAAATATTATTTTTTCTTATGAAATGATAGAGAATCTTTTCCCGATGGTAATGACACTAAAAGTTCGAAATTTGGTCGAAAACTCATGGAATTATGCTCCTGCGAAGTTAACGGTCTCGGCGACATATGCGTATCAGCGATTTTGCCGACTTTGAGCCCTATTTTCAGCCAATTCCATTGTTCCAGTTGACCAAACTCATAGCTATTTCTTTAGAACTCCATTTTATCTATCAGCTGAGTACAAGAAACCTCCCATTTACTAATTTGGACTACCCAATATGGTGGTCAGAAATTGGCAATTTGGCCAATTTCATGCAAACTAAAAAATATGCCAATTTCAAAATAGGGTCCAGAATAAACAAGGTAGACATTCCTGGCATTAAAATAACATATGCTCTGTTCATTAGTCACATCTCTAGGCCCCTCTTATATTATTATTGCTTTCTATTTTGATTTTTTATTCATACAAAAAAATACAAAATTTACTGTTATGCAGACTACTGCATTATTGTAAAAATGGTATAAATAATATCAGTGCACTAGTGAAAGAATATTAGACTCCCCAGTTGACGTGTATTGGACGTGTGGTGTGATTTATTTACTCCTGAACATTGGTAAAAATCGAACATTTCCGCTACTTTGAGCTCAGTTTCAAGGTCGTTTTCATCGTCAAAGTAATGAAAATCATCTCTATTTTGTAATATGTTTTCCATTTTATCACCTAAGACCATGAAAACGCGAATACAAAGATAAATACTATACGAAAATACACCTCAAAGTCGGCATTTTATTCCAAAAAAACGATGTTTTTTTCTCATTACGCAATGTGTGCTGCAGGATTTTTTTTTATGTGGTGCACACTGACCAGACAGACCCATTCTCTCACATGTGGGCCTACCAGCTTTCTCCCGCTGATTTGAAGCCGCTAGAATTATTGAGTATATATACGTCAGAAACATTGGCTCGTAAGACTTATTTATACGTCGAAAACAGTCAAAGGGTTAAAAGTTCCTCAAAATATTCTCGCCATCTACCTAATACCTCACTCTCCCCATCTACTAACTCCCCTACTCTGTTTTTAACTGACAAATCCATACGTTCCCTAGGCTTTCTTAACTTGTTTAACTCACTCCAAAATTTTTTCCTATTTTCATTAAAATTTCTTGACAGTGCCTCTCCCACTCTATCATCTGCTCTTCTTTTGCACTCTCTCACCACTCTCTTCACCTTTCTTTTACTCTCCATATACTCTGCTCTTCTTATAACACTTCTGCTTTGTAAAAACCTCTCATAAGCTAACTTTTTCTCTTTTATCACACCCTTTACTTCATCATTCCACCAATCGCTCCTCTTTCCTCCTGCCCCCACCCTCCTATAACCAAAAACTTCTGCCCCACATTCTAATACTGCATTTTTAAAACTCATCCAACCCTCTTCAACCCCCCCACTACCCATCTTTGCACTAGCCCACCTTTCTGCCAATAGTCGCTTTTATCTCACCCGAACTTCCTCCTCCCTTAGTTTATACACTTTCACTTCCCTCCTATTTGTTGTTGCCACCTTCTTCTTGTCCCATCTACCTCTTACTCTAACTGTAGCTACAACTAAATAATGATCCGATATATCAGTTGCCCCTCTATAAACATGTACATCCTGGAGCCTACCCATTAACCTTTTATCCACCAATACATAATCTAACAAACTACTTTCATTACGTGCTACATCATACCTTGTATATTTATTTATCCTCTTTTTCATAAAATATGTATTACTTATTACCAAATCTCTTTCTACACATAGCTCAATTAAAGGCTCCCCATTTACATTTACCCCTGGCACCCCAAATTTACCTACTACTCCCTCCACAACATTTTTACCCACTTTAGCATTGAAATCCCCAACCACAAGTACTCTCACACTTGGTTCAAAACTCCCCACGCATTCACTCAACATTTCCCAAAATCTCTCTCTCTCCTCTACACTTCTCTCTTCTCCAGGTGCATACACGCTTATTATAACCCACTTTTCACATCCAATCTTTATTTTACTCCACATAATCCTTGAATTAATACATTTATAGTCCCTCTTTTCCTGTCATAGCTTATCCTTCAACATTATTGCTACTCCTTCTTTAGCTCTAACTCTATTTGAAACCCCTGACCTAATCCCATTTATTCCTCTCCACTGAAACTCTCCCACCCCCTTCAGCTTTGTTTCACTTAAAGCCAGGACATCCAGCTTCTTCTCATTCATAACATCCACAATCATCTCTTTCTTATCATCTGCACAACATCCACGCACATTCAGACTTCCCACTTTGACAATTTTCTTCTTCTTATTCTTTTTAGTAATCTTTACAGGAAAAGGGGTTACTAGCTCATTGTTCCCGGCATTTTAGTTGACTTTTACAACACGCATGGCTTACGGAGGAAAGATTCTTATTCCACTTCCCCATGGATATAAAAGGAAAAGTAATAAGACCAAGAACTATTAAGATAAAATCAAAGAAAACTCAGATGAGTGTGTATAAATAAATGTGGACATGTATGTGTAGTGTGACCTAAGTGTAAGTAGAAGTAGCAAGACATACCTGTAATCTTGCATATTTACGAGACAGACAAAAAACACCAGCAATCCTACCATCATGTAAAACAATTACAGGCTTTTGTTTATATTCACTTGGCAGGATGGTAGTACCTCCCTGGGTGGTTGCTGTCTACCAACCTACTACCACAGGACGGTAGTACCTCCCTGGGTGGCTGCTGTCTACCAACCTACTACCACAGGACGGTAGTACCTCCCTGGGTGGTTGCCGTCTACCAACCTACTACCACAGGATGGTAGTACCTCCCTGGCTGGTTGCTGTCTACCAACCTACTACCACAGGACGGTAGTACCTCCCTGGGTGGTTGTTGTCTACCAACCTACTACCACAGGACGGTAGTACCTCCCTGGGTGGTTGCTGTCTACCAACCTACTACCACAGGGCGGTAGTACCTCCCTGGCTGGTTGCTGTCTACCAACCTACTACCACAGGACGGTAGTACCTCCCTGGGTGGTTGCTGTCTACCAACCTACTACCACAGGACGGTAGTACCTCCCTGGCTAGTTGCTGTCTACCAACCTACTACCAATTAAAATTTTTTTATGCTAATGCCCAGGGTTTATTACCTGGACCTCAGCAATGAGAGTCGCTACTCTCACCGCTGGGCAACGGCGACCAGTGATAAATAAGATAAATAAGATAAATAAGACAAATAAGACACTTGTGCAACATTTGGTATCTTTATTCCAGAAAAGTTTCCAGAACAAAGATAAGAAAATGTTGCACAAGTGTCTCATTGACCAACTTGTCATTTTTCTAAAATCACTTATACAAACTGTCAGACAGCAACATCTTGGGGGATCTTGAGACAGGGAATTCTTCAAAGCCTGCCTTAACCTACAGGCATGACAAACTTTCACTAGGTGGATTTTTACACTGCTTCGCCTCACCTGTCTGCAGTATAAGACTTCTCTGTACATATGTCGTACTTTTATAAAGACTGACAGACTAAATACATCGACTCTAGACTGAGGGACTGATTACCTCAAACTCCTCATTTTCCACCATTCTTCTCTGTACTGAACTGAAGAAGCCATTGACTGGCAAGATGTTTCCAGAATAATGATACCCAAATGTTGCACAAGTGTTTCATTTATCAATTATCAAATCATGTCAGGGACATGATGCATAAGGACAGTGCATGATATAATGACAGTTAAAGGGATGGATTGAACAGTTTTCTTTTAATCTTTCCACAAAAGTACAGACGTTTTCTTATGAAGAACAGTGTTGGATAGAACAATACAAGGATGTGAAACAATTAATTATATTTCAATGGGCGAGTAACATTTCTGGCATCTAAAACCCAAGCACTGAATGGCATAAATTTATATTCTATAGCTATGGAAAATTTACATTATAAAAATATTAATATCAACATGGAAAATGCATTTTGAGAAACGACTAACCTTGAGGAACCACTGTGGAGGGAGTTCTTGAGCATCCGGCGCATCTCGTACAAGATCTTTATCCTTCTCTTGATCATATTTCTCACTCTCTTCCTCAGCATGTTTAGCAAATTGGTCAAAGTCCCCAATCTGGTAAAAAAGTTTTTTTTACTGGCATTCACATCATACCCTGCAGAAGTTGTGACAAAAAAGTGTGTTGGCAAAATATCCAGCACACTAAAACTCAGGCTTCCCAAACATAAATACGTCTGCAGCCAGGACAACCAAAACAGTGACTGTGCACAAAGTAGAAACACAAAGGGACACATCATAAGGTTTAATGGAGGAAAGCTGAAAATTCATGAAGAGCAGCCACAAAACTCACCAACATGATACCACGTTAGTCAAGCAGTTATAGTATATCTAAAACCCTGGCAGTGACACCACCATTAGATGATACTAAGTTAGAGGTGAAGCACTGCTGTAGGTCTACCACAGGCAGATGCTAACACTTCCACACCCACTATATTACTCCACTTTTAACTTATGATCACTTGACTTTTTGTACTATACAGTAGGGCCCTGACCTATGATATTCCAAATTATGACCTCTCACACCTGTGAAGTTGACATTCTGGAACCAATTAACTACTTACGTACAAGCAAGTGGCTCTCACTTCTGATGGTGGGACTACTGACAATTTTCTTAAAAGATGGAATACAAATGATTGCCTTGTTACCTTTTTACCTAACGATTTCATACTTTATGTATGTTTATTTTATGCATGTAAAGAGAACTCACATTTGTCTGTCAAGAACCAGTGGTAGTGTCATAACCAACGAAGTTGACCTCCACTGTGTTTAAGGTTAACATTATATGAAAAGCTCAACATTATCCTCAATATTAGTAAGGGAATAAATCTTCACTGCTCATGTACCATGGTGTTGGGTTACACTTAATAGTGCATAGTCAAGCTGTACCACAGCTGCCCATGGTAACCTCACAGACACTTACTTCTAGGCAGCACAAACAGGGGGCAGTGCTGTCTGGGGGTTTTCCCCAGATGGTATTTATAAGAGCATAAGAAAGAATGAACACTGCAGCAGGCCTACTGGCCCATGCTAGGAAGGTCTAAGTCACATCCAAGTAAGAAGAAGCACTGCATCAGACCCACTGGCTGGGGCCAGTGGGTCTGATGCAGCACTGATGTGGTTAAGGACTTTCATAAATATAGGTATGAAAGGAAAGGTCGGGTGTCCTATAAGTGAGGTTAAAGTTGCAAAATGCGCTAAAGCAATTAAATGTGCTTACTGTAGTGAATAGTTCTGCATTGCCTGTGTTGATTTGAATGATTAAGACTATAATTTTATGCTCAGGTGTTATAATTTTGGTTCTTGTTAGTTGTAAAGTGACATGTGCTTAGAGAAAATGTTGTTAGTTCAAATTCAAAGTTTATTCTCTATAAGGATTACAATGCTGAGTTTACAGAATTTGGTTATTGTGTGGTTTACATGTAGTAAAATAATAATTACAGAGTGTACCACTAGAACACCTAACATGGCTAGGCATTTCGGGCAGACTTAAATTAAATCTTAAGTTTACAATATTACAAAATTATGAGGTAAGTTGGTATTATGGCTAAGTGACTAAATACTAGTTTGTGAGTTTAGCAATGTGAATGCTTTTGTTTTGGCACAGTACATAGTTTCAGTATTGGAGTATCACAGGATTCATTATTTTAAGATTGAGATTAATATTTCTGTTTATGGTCAAATGGGTGAGTGAGTGTAAGTGTGAACCACCAGGTGGTATTCGTGTATTTAGTTGACGGGGTGTATCAGGGAGATAAGATGTTTTCTAATGGTAGTTTTGAAGGTGATGAATGTGCCTGCAGTTCTAGAGTTCTCAGGTAGGGTGTTCCAGATTTTAGGGCCTTTGACATACATTGAATTTTTGTAAAGGTTTAGTCGGACACGGGGAATGTCGTAGAGATGTTTGTGTCTGGTGTTATGCCTGTGGGTTCTGTCACAACTATCAAGAAAGCATTTTAGGTTAAGGTTGATATTAGAGTTTAAGGCCCTGTAGATGTAGATTGCACAGTAGTAAGTGTGGATGTACTGAACTGGGAGTAAGTTTAGGTCTATGAAGAGTGGGGGGGGGGGGGGTGTTGTCAGGGATGGGATTTAGTGATTATTCTTACTGCAGCTTTTTGTTGGGTTATTATTGGCTTTAGGTGAGTTGCTGCAGTTGATCCCCAAGCACAAATAGCATAGGTGAGGTATGGATAAATAAGTGAGTGGCATAGTGTGAGAAGGGCATTTTGCGGCACGTAGTATCGTATCTTGGAGAGGATCCCAACCATTTTGGATACTTTTTTTGGTTATATGCTGGATATGGGTGCTGAAATTCAGGTTGTTGTCAAGGTATAAGCCTAGGAATTTGCCCCCATTATTTCTGGTAATTAGAGTGTTGTCAATCTTAATGTTCATTTGTGCATCTCCTGCTCTGCTACCAAACATAATATAGTAGGTTTTGTCAGTGTTAAGCGTAAGTTTATTGGCTGTCATCCAAGTCGATATTTTAATCAGCTCCTCATTCACAATGGTGTTGAGGGTGGCAAGATTAGGGTGAGAGATGACATAAGTCATGTCATCAGCAAAGAGAATGGGTTTCAGGTGTTGGGATACGTTTGGAAGGTCATTGATGTATATGAGGAAGAGCAGGGGACCAAGGACACTTCCCTGCGGAACTCCAGTATCAAGTGGCCATGTTGCTGATGCTGTGTCTTTAATGGTGACATACTGATACCTATTAGTAATGTAAGATTTGAAATAAGCAAGCGCATGGCCTCTTATACCGTAATGATCAAGTTTGAGGAGTAGGATGTCGTGGTCTACTGTGTCAAAAGCTTTTCTTAGGTCAAAAGACAAGTAATGGTTATTAAATGATGTCAAAAATGTTAAGAGTAAATTGTATTGATAGTAAAAATGGTAATTATTAATTTTAGTAAGTAATATCGATTATTATTATTATTATTTTTTTTTATTATCACACTGGCCGATTCCCACCAAGGCAGGGTGGCCCAAAAAAGAAAAACTTTCACCATCATTCACTCCATCACTGTCTTGCCAGAAAGGTGCTTTACACTCCAGTTTTTAAACTGCAACATTAACACCCCTCCTTCAGAGTGCAGCCACTGTACTTCCCATCTCCAGGACTCAAGTCCGGCCTGCCGGTTTCCCTGAACCCCTTCATAAATGTTACTTTGCTCACACTCCAACAGCACGTCAAGTATTAAAAACCATTTGTCTCCATTCACTCCTATCAAACACGCTCACGCATGCCTGCTGGAAGTCTAAGCCCCTCGCACACAAAACCTCCTTTACCCCCTCCCTCCAACCTTTCCTAGGCCGACCCCTACCCCGTCTTCCTTCCACTACAGACTGATACACTCTTGAAGTCATTCTGTTTCGTTCTATTCTCTCTACATGTCCGAACCACCTCAACAACCCTTCCTCAGCCCTCTGGACAACAGTTTTGGTAATCCCGCACCTCCTCCTAACTTCCAAACTACGAATTCTCTGCATTATATTCACACCACACATTGCCCTCAGGCATGACATCTCCACTGCCTCCAGCCTTCTCCTCGCTGCAACATTCATCACCCATGCTTCACACCCATATAAGAGCATTGGTAAAACTATACTCTCATACATTCCCCTCTTTGCCTCCAAGGACAAAGTTCTTTGTCTCCACAGACTCCTAAGTGCACCACTCACCCTTTTCCCCTCATCAATTCTATGATTCACCTCATCTTTCATAGACCCATCCGCTGACACGTCCACTCCCAAATATCTGAATACATTCACCTCCTCCATACTCTCTCCCTCCAATCTGATATCCAATCTTTCATCACCTAATCTTTTTGTTATCCTCATAACCTTACTCTTTCCTGTATTCACCTTTAATTTTCTTCTTTTGCACACCCTACCAAATTCATTCACCAATCTCTGCAACTTCTCTTCAGAATCTCCCAAGAGCACAGCGTCATCAGCAAAGAGAAACTGTGACAACTCCCACTTTATGTGTGATTCTTTATCTTTTAACTCCATGCCTCTTGCCAAGACCCTTGCATTTACTTCTCTTACAACCCCATCTATAAATATATTAAACAACCACGGTGACATCACACATCCTTGTCTAATGCCTACTTTTGCTGAGAAATAATTTCCCTCTTTCCTACATACTCTAACTTGAGTCTCACTATCCTCGTAAAAACTCTTCACTGCTTTCAGTAACCTACCTCCTACACCATACACCTGCAACATCTGCCACATTGCCCCCCTATCCACCCTGTCATACGCCTTTTCCAAATCCATAAATGCCACAAAGACCTCTTTAGCCTTATCTAAATACTGTTCACTTATATGTTTCACTGTAAACACCTGGTCCACACACCCCTACCTTTCCTAAAGCCTCCTTGTTCATCTGCTATCCTATTCTCCGTCTTACTCTTAATTCTTTCAATAATAACTCTACCATACACTTTACCAGGTATACTCAACAGACTTATCCCCCTATAATTTTTGCACTCTCTTTTATCCCCTTTGCCTTTATACAAAGGAACTATGCATGCTCTCTGCCAATCCCTAGGTACCTTACCCTCTTCCATACATTTATTAAATAATTGCACCAACCACTCCAAAACTATATCCCCACCTGCTTTTAACATTTCAATTAATATCAATTAATAATATTTAAAAAAATATGAGGTAGTAATATGGACAGAGAAAGTATCAATTCAGCTAATATTTAAGCAAACAATAGTAAATAAGAAAATTACATAAGGTGACTTGTGCTTACTAGTAAAATCACAAAATGAGGTAGTTGATTATTTAATTACTAAGAGACTGTACTACGAAATTTGAACAATAATTGAGCAAAACATACACTACATTACGTAGGCTTTTAGGTTGGACATTGTTTAGTTATTCTCTGTAAGATTAGTATCCCTGAGAAATCGTGATAGATCATTCTTGTTCGTGATTGTGTATAGTTGACCTACATTTGTTTTCCTAACTAGAATTTTCCCATCCCGTGTGAAGCATTGGTGTATTGTGTCATTATTCTCCCGCTTAAGTTTTCTGACTCTATACAGGAGGTTCTGACGTTTTTTGGTAAGACACTCGTTTATGTATACCTCTTTCTTTACTTTAATAGATGCAATAATTAAGTCTTTTTTCCTGTCATGTGAGTGGAATCTAAGCATAACACTTTTTCTACCATGGGATCCTAGTAACCTGGCTTCTTTTATTTCTGACTCTGGTACAATAACACTTGTTTGGTCCTTTATGATCTGCAGAGTAATTTCTTTGCTGTTCGTTTGGTTCATATCAATGGGAAAAGTGGACTGTTAACTATTACTGCGTCCGATAGTTTATCTTGTTCAGTTTTATCTTCTTGGAGAGCAAAGTATTCACTGAACTGGTTATCTAAGTTGTTCTTCCATTCTTTTACTGCTTCTTCAACCTTTGTATTAAGAGATATTATTTGTTGAGTATGGCTATCTATGACTGTTTGGATGGTCTTGTCACAGTTAGTGAGTGGAAGAATTCTCAATTTCAGGGATCACTCATAGGTAAATGCTGCTGAGGCTGCAGTCAGTACAGTGAGTCATACTGCTGGTATTATTTTGACTGATTTTGCTAAAGAGCTTCTAAAGGTAGATAAGAAACTGTCTAATCCTAGAAGTGAGATCTGCAGCCCTGCTGTGTCTGCAGGGCTGCAGATCTCACTTCTTAGGAAGGGCAGTGAAGAATCAAAATGGGGGAGGAGATGTTTGCTCAGGTGTCTGACATCAGTATTAATAACTGCGGTGCAAACACTGTGATTCAGGATCAGCACTTTGTGATTCTTAAGCCCAAACTAAAGTGTTCCAGTGGAAAATACTACTCAATCTCAAATACAATATATTATCAACCCAACCTTATCAAAGAACAGACAAGAATAAATGCATGTGTAGAGAACATAAGAAATATTCAATGTGAAGGGATGTTCAGCAAATTTAACTTAAACAAACTGAGAATTGATTGTGACCAAAACAAAAAAAAAAAAGTCAGACATATCCTGGAAAACTGAAAACTAAGAACATAAGAACATAAGAAAGGAGGAACACTGCAGCAGGCCTGTTGGCCCATACTAGGCAGGTCTTAGTCTTGATTCCTTAGTACTAACCTTGAGATTGGTCTTGATTCCTTAGTACTAACCTTGAGATTGGTCTTGATTCCTTAGTACTAACCTTGAGATTGGGCTTCTTCCTTGTCTTCTTTTTACCAAAGACACACTCATAAGGTTCAGTATCTAGGATGTGTACACGAGCATTCTTAGCCACTTCCTTAAGCAGGGAAATGGGCAAGCCAGTTTTCTTCATCACCACCTGCAGGATGACATGCAAAATTACCCCATGCAGAAAATTCTCCACTTAATCACCATAGGCCTCTGAATCCTGTCACAGAGTAGGCCTCCTAAATAATTAGAAACATTATAGGAATAACTATGTAAAAACAAACAGGAAATAACCTATATCTAGCTCCTACGTAGTCTGTAAGCATTAGTATTAGTCTACCTGACATGCGCCACATTGGAGTGGTTTTCTTTTGTGTTTAACAATATTACTTTTTTTTTTAAGAAGTCGGCGGACTCCCATCAAAGCAGGGCGACCCAAAAACAAAGAAAATCCCCAAAAAGAAAATACTTTCATCATCATTCAACACTTTCACCTCACTCGCACATAATCGCTGTTTTTGCAGAGGTGCTCAGAATACAACAGTTTAGAAGCACATACATATAAAGATACACCCAGGGAGGTACTACCGTCCTGCCAAGGGAGTGTAAAATGAAAGCTTGTAATTGTTTTACATGATGGTAGGATTGCTGATGTCTTTTGTCTGCCTCATAAATATGCAAGATTACAGGTACGTCTTGCTACTCCTACTTACACTTAGGCCACACTACACATACATGTACACATTTACTTATACACATTCATCTAAATTTTCTTTGATTTTATCTTGATGGAGTGAATGATGGTGAAAGTTTTTCTTTTTCGGGCCACCCTGCCTTGGTGGGAATCAGCCAGTGTGATAATAAAAAAAAATAAAATAAAAATAGTTCTTGTTCTTATTACTTTTCCTTTTATATCCATGGGGAAGTGGAATAAGAATCTTTCCTCTGTAAGCCATGCGTGTTGTAAAAGTCAACTGAAATGCCGGGAACAATGGGCTAGTAACCCCTTTTCCTGTAATGATTTTAAAAAGAATAAGCAGAAGAAATTTTATTACATGTAAACTACATTTTGTATACTGCAGAAATAAAGTTTGCAAGAAGTGTGTACAATTTACAGACCATTTAATGTTTTCATGAGGCAGAAAGTAAAGATCAACAATCGTGCCGATGGAATTTTTTAATTGCTTTCCCTTTTACACTTATATAACATGGCAGTGGTACCTCACTATATGAATGCTATAAACTCAAAAATTATAATTCAATCAAAAATCATAACAATAAAACAGCTGAAATACAATTAATATGATTTAAATAGTACAGTGGACCCCCGGTTAACGATATTTTTTCACTCCATAAGTATGTTCAGGTGCCAGTACTGACCGAATTTACTCCCATAAGGAATATTGTGAAGTAGATTAGTCCATTTCAGACCCCCAAACATACACGTACAAACGCACTTACATAAATACACTTACATAATTGGTCGCATTCGGAGGTAATCGTTATGCGGGGGTCCACTGTATTAAGATCAAATTTATGCAAAATTTATATTTTTTAAGTATTAATCAGAGCTAACTTGAAATACCTCCAAGGAGAAGTGGAATGGAATTCTTCCATGCACGTCTTAAGAGGTGGCTAAAATGCCGGGAGCAAAGGGCTAGTAATCCCTTCTCCTGTATACATTACTAAATTTATAAAGAGAAACGTTTGTTTTTCTTGTTAGATCACCTTGCCTCGGTGAGATACAGCTGGTTCGTTGAAAAAAGAAAAATTATTTTACGAGTGGGTGGGTATGCTGCAGTCCAGAGGGGTCATTTAAGTTGTGATGTGCACTTCTGGCAAGACAACTACTGAATGAGTGAAGGTGTTTCTTTATCTGGTTCATTTTACCTTGGTGAGAGATACCTGATATGGTGGAAAAAAAAAATTATTTCAGAAATGTAGTTAATGTAGCCATCACTACGAGTTAAAACTCACCTGATAGGGATCCTTCAAGACTTTTCCCATCTCTTCTTGGAAAGTTTGAAGAGCTCTCTGCCCAATAACTTTGGTATTTCCAAACCATCGCTGATTAGGTTCAACACGAGCCTGAGTACCTGTTACAAAAATCAAAATCAAATACAGCTGGAAAGTATTTCTCTTAACATAAAGTATATTACCAGCTGGACAATGACAATATCAAGTCAACCAACACTAACCTGGACTGACTCTGTTCTGGAACACGGCAGCCTTAATAATTTTTCCCTGCCTGTTGCGTTTTGCTTTCCCAGTTCGATACATTTGCAGGCGTTTAATGGTTGCCTTGTCTCTTGCATAAGGAGCACCACGAAGCTGCACCTGTGAAAAAAAATTATTACATAGTATATACAGTAAAATTTAGCACAGTGTGGTTCTTGAAAGCTGCAGTTATCACTAATTTAAGTTGTAAAAATAACAAAATACATATAAAACAATGGATAGCATTTCACATTTCTGTAGGGTTAATTAACAGAATAATATAACACAGTAAGTGTAATGTATATCCATGGGGAAGTGGAAAAGAATCCTTCCTCTATAAGCCATCCATGTTGTAAGATGCAACTAAAATACCAGGAGCAAAGGGCTAGTAACCCCTTCTCTTGTATAAATTACTAAATGTAAAAAGAAAAACTTCCATTTCTTCTTTTTTGGGTTACCCTGCATCAGTGGGAGACAGCCGGTGTGTTAAAAAAAGAAGCATATGTAACTTACTGGTTTCCCTGATGCCCTAAAATGAATATACTTTAGGTCACTGATATCAGTCTACTGAGTTAAGATACAGTAGGTCATGATCCTTCAGTGACTGGTGCTGCAGAATTTAAAAAATATTAACCCTTAAACTATCCAAACAAAGATCTATGTTCACGTGTGTAGGTATCCAAACATAGATCTATGTTTTTTTTACATGCTTTATTATGGAGAAAATCAAGGTCAGAGCGGTATGCACGCAAACGTAGATCTACGTTTGGACAGTTTAAGGGTTAACAACTGTATTGGCAAAGTACTTTCTGAAACATCTGTGTTACCATGTAATTATTTATAAGACACATGACAAGGGAAATCGGTTAGCCGGACTTGAGTCCTGGAAATGGGAAGTACAATGACTGCACTTTAAAGGAGGGGCTTGGGATATTGGCAGTTTGGAGAGACTTCTAAACTGTTTTATCTGAGTGCCTCTGCAAAGATAATGATTATGTATGAGTGATGGTAAAAGTGTTGAATGATGATGAGAGTTTTTCTTTCTTTTTGAGTCACCCTGCCTTGGTGAGAAATGGCCGACGTGTTATTTTTAGAGTTCTACTTTCATCTTCCTTTCAAAATTTTCTGTCAGCTTCTACATCATCTAAGCCCTAAATGCTAACACTCATTACAAGCACAACTCCCCCACCTGATCCCAGTGGGGGAAAACCAAGGAACTTATTGACTACCAAGTGTCAGAATTTTTCCCACCCAGAATTTAGGGTTAAGTAGATTGGCCACCTCCTCACATGGAACATTTATGTCTTAAATTGCAGTTGCAATGTTAAACTGCTCCCTAAGTCTGGGATTCCTGTCTCTGCATTCTTGTTCATAGCTCTTGTAAGCTTTTGTGTAAGAGGGAGAGACTTGTGCAATGTGAGGTAACTTTATCTAGGCTACCTTTGTTCTGTACAATTGTATTGCCAAGACAGGTCACCACACCCTAAACAAGAGTGTTTAATTAATTTTTCTGCCTTCATTATGAGTCTTGTTTCAATCCATCTTGATTCATCAAGTAGTCATGACTATTCCTATGAATAACACAGCCATTATTAATTTTGTACAGCAGTCAGATTTATGTTGACTGCCACTCAGTAGGTGTGTCCCAAGCTGTTTCCCTCACACGTTTACTTATGTCCTCTTCATGGTATTACATAAACTTGTACTTATGTCCATAAATACCATGTCAATGAACATAAATCTGCCTGCTGTACAGACAACACTGACAATGGCTGTGTTAGTCCCAGGAACAGCCATGATCACTTGATGAGGTGGGGTGAGGCAAGACTCATCATTAAGGTCTATGAAAGATGAGGTGAACCATAGAATTGAGGAGGGAAACAAGGTGGGTGGTGCATTGAGGCATCTGTGGAAAGAAAACCTAATCCATGGAGACAAAATGGTGAATGTACCAGAGAATAGTGACACCAACACTTTTATGGATGAAGCATGGGTTTTGAATGTTGCAGCGAGGAGGAAACTGGAGGCAGTGGAGATGACACGTCTGAGGGCAATGTATGGTGTGAATATTATGCAGAGACTTCATAGTTAGAAGACTAGAAGAATGGAGCTACTAGAGGTATTATCCAGAGGGCTGAGGAGGGGTTATTGAGGTAGTTTGGGCATGTAGAGGATGGAACAAAACAGAATGACAAATGGGGTATATAATGTATATCGGTAGTGGAGGAAGGCAGGGTAGGGGTCATCCTAGAAAAGGTTGGAGGGAGGGGTAAAGAAGGTTTTTGTAAGTAAGGGAAACTTAGACATCCAACAAGCATATGAAAATGCGTTTGATAGGAGTGCGTGGAGGCAAGTGGGTTTTGTAACTTGACGTGTTGTTGGAGTGTGAGCAAGAGAACATGTATGAATTCAGGGAAACCAGTTAGCAGACTGATTTTAAGCAATCAGCTCAAAATCAAGTGAAATCATTCAAGATTTTGTGCACCCACATAGACTACACCAGACCTCCATCCTAACATATATATATGTACAGTGGAACCTCAAATATCGAACTTAATCCGTTCCAGGAGTTAGTTCTAAATTTGAAAAGTCTGAAAAGCGAACCAATATTTCCCATAAGAAATAATGGAAATAAAATTAATCCATTCCAGAAAGCCAAAAATATTCACAAAAAAATACATTTTATGGAGATTAATTATAGTTTTACATACACACAACAAATATAGCATTCAATTATGTATTAATAAATTTAAATAAACATATAAATAATATTTTACTTCCCTTTATTGAATATTGGTGATGGCATCTGGAAGATAGGGAGGAGGAGAGAGGGAGTTGGGGTTAGTGTTTGGAAGGAGAATCCTCCTCCATGAGGACTTCAGGCATCAAAGTCCTTTCTGGGTTACTTCCCTTCTGTCTTTTAATGCCACTAGGACCAGCTTGAGAGTCACTGGACCCCTGTCTCACAAAATAACTGTCCACAGTCCTCTGTTTCTGGTGCCTCTAAGATTTCCCTAAAATGGAACATGGTTCTGTCACTGAACTTGTTGTAAAGCTGCCGGACAGGTCTGGTACCTGGCGGTTCGAAAATAGGGGTGAGTTCGATAATAGGGACAAAGTTGGTTCGAAAAAAGGGTTCTATTTTCGAAGAGTTCGATAAGCGATACGTTCTAAATTTGAGGTTCCACTGTTTATCTGCTTTCCATTCTAGGTAGTAGGTTGGTAGACAGCAACTGCCTAGGGAGGTACTACCGTCCTGCCAAGTGAGTGTAAAGCGAAAGCCTGTAATTGTTTTACATGATGGTAGGATTGCTGGTGTCCATTTTTCTGTCTCATAAACGTGCAAGGTTTCAGGTACGTCTTGCTACTTCTACTTACACTTAGGTCACACTACACATACATGTACAAGCATATATATACACACCTCTCTGGGTTTTCTTCTATTTTCTTACTAGTTCTTGTTCTTGTTTATTTCCTCTTATCTCCATGGGGAAGTGGAACAGAATTCTTCCTCCATAAGCCATGCGTGTTGTAAGAGGCAACTAAAATGCTGGGAGCAAGGGGCTAGTAACCCCTTCTCCTGTATATATTACTAAATGTAAAAGGAGAAACTTTCGTTTTTCCTTTTGGGCCACCCTGCCTCGGTGGGATACAGCCGGCATGTTGAAAGAAGAAAGATCTGCTTTCCATGTCTGTATTAGATTAATAAAGCTGTAGTGAGTCAAACATTTCAACACTAAAGTTACCTCACATTGTACAAGTCTCTCTCTTATACATCTGTCATTGTTATATACCTTATTTGCATCAAATGAAAAGTATTTTCATACTTGTCTGTTTTGTTGTGTATGTTTAGTTACATGCTGGTCCAAGAGGTTGGATTTAAGTGGTTGTAGCATGGTAAAAAATACATTTGAGTCATGATTCTTCAACATATCAATATAATTTCTTGCCAGGTACATCTTGACCTGGTGTAATGAATATTTAAATCAATCATTAAACAGTTTCTGTCATCAATGCCTTCACGATGGATCATTAAATAATTAATAAACAAGAATTTCTCCTGACCCGTTAATCTCTCCCCAAACACTGGACAGAGAAGTTATGTGAAATTGTCCCTAACAAATTAAAAAAACTTTTTTCACTAGTAAAAGTACTTAATATGCACCATAATGTTTCACTGACATTGAAAACTTGAAAACTATTGAAAGTGTTGATAAATAATGTTGGTAAAGTCAGCAGGATTACTAAAAATAAAAATAAAAACTTTCATTATTCTTTTTAAGTCGCCCTGCCTCGGTGGGAGATGGCTGGTACATTAAAGTTTGTTGTATCACATAAAAGTGTTAATTACAAAGTAATTAACTTACAGTACTCAGAAGATACACCATTGCTCTTACACAATAACAAACAATATTTGCCCTTACTGCCTTAACAAAGTGAAACCAAAGTAGATGTCATTCTTTATACCTTCGTGTTGATCTACAGAGCCAGCAACTGTAGTCTTAATAAATAACACACACCTCTTACACTTGCTTGAGATTGCTTCACTCAACAGCAGCGGCACCCCCTCTCCCCCCACACACAAACACAGTATTCAATAGAATACACTAATTTGAATAACACAGTTGCGGTGAATAACTCCAGTCGTCAATGCGGTAAAAATAATAATCTAATATGAAAGGCACACACAAAAAGTATTTAAACTCCAGCAATAATAATGATCAGTTTGATTGTTACCTTATCACGAGGTCGGTCGGGGTTCATGGAGTTGGTGGACTTGACAAAGCCGCCCACCTTCTTCTTGGCTCTTTCTACTGTTTTCCCCATCTTGTACTGATTTACTCTGAAAGAAACAAAAAAAATTTTTAGGGCTATACAATACAAAATGGAAGCTAGTAAATATGCATAAATATATTCATGGGAGTGAAGGAGGAGAAGAAACCACCATAGAGGTCATACTGTGCCTGGAGGAATGAGAAGCAATCAGGTTCAATCCAAGGAATGGGAAATCAGATACAATTCCTTATATCCAAGAGCCCTTAATGGGCATTAAGAAACCTTCCTCGAGGGTAAATATGTATTCAAATTTAAATTTTTATTGATTTTTATACACTATAAAGATAATGTAGTGTACATGTCATAAAACATTGTTAAGAATAAAAGAAAGCTACTAGTATACACAAGCTTGTCAGAAAAACTAATCGTAATGCTTAAAGACTACTTAACTCTTAAACTGTCCAAACGTAGATCTACGTTTTTTCAACATTTGAAAGTATGTAAAAAACATAGATCTTTTTTTTTTTACATTTGAAAATGTGTGAAAAAACGTAATCTACTTTTTGAGCACTACGCATGTGAACATAGATCTGTTTGGACAGTTGAAGGGTTAAGTATTAGACATAGACTCTTATGTAGGAGTTTTTCTTCAGTTAACTATTATATGCAAAATAATGTAACTAAATAAACAATGGTACAATTTTTAAAAATATGACTTATTATTTCAAAATGATTCAATGATCTTCAGTTTTGTTGAGTAACTGAATAGTGATGAAGATACAGGAAATTGTTTAGTTACAGTAGAGATATAATGGGACAAGATGAGTAATTAATTTTCTACTGGAGTGGAGGAAGACTGGAAGAACAGGAACAGTTGGATGAGCTGGTTTTGTTTGATAAAGTTTTGCTGGTTCAATTAAAATGAGGTGTTTTTTTAACAATAGCTCTGAACTGACTTTCAATGATTCAGGCAACGAATTCCAGATCTTAGGGTCTTTTATTCACACTGAGTTTTAGCACAGGTTGAGTTAGACACGGGAGATCCGTGGCCTGGGAGATAAAGCTCTTGCTTAACACACTGAGGGGCCAGGTTCGATTACCAGCGAGGGTAGAAACATTGGGCACATTTCCTTACACTGGTTGTCTATGTTCACGCATCAGTAAAATAAGCACCTGGGTGTTAGTGGACTGGTGTGGGTCACATCCTGGGTGTCAGTGGACTGGTGTGGGTCACATCCTGGGTGTTAGTGGACTGGTGTGGGTCACATCCTGGGTGTTAGTGGACTGGTGTGGGTCACATCCTGGGTGTCAGTGGACTGGTGTGGGTCACATCCTGGGTGTCAGTGGACTGGTGTGGGTCACATCCTGGGTGTTAGTGGACTGGTGTGGGTCACATCCTGGGTGTTAGTGGACTGGTGTGGGTCACATCCTGGGTGTTAGTGGACTGGTGTGGGTCACATCCTGGGTGTCAATGGACTGGTGTGGGTCACATCCTGGGACAAAACTGATCTAATTTGCGGGAAATGTTCATCATAACAAGCAACTTTCTATATATTAGTATGTCACTGATGTCAACTATGGTGTGTATACCTTGTACATGTACTGGTACTAAATAAAGATATTATTATTATTATTATTATTATTATTATTAAGAGGGTTTTGTTTGTTGTGTTGCAGCAGCTACCAGGGAAAAGTTTGAGAGGAAGGTTTATGTTACCTTGTGAGGTATATCAACAGTTGTTTATCCTAGAAGGTATATCAACAGTTGTTTAACCTAGAAGGTATATCAACAGTTGTTTATCCTAGAAGGTATATCAACAGTTGTTTATCCTGGAAGGTATATCAACAGTTGTTTACCCTGGAAGGTATATCAACAGTTGTTTATCCTGGAAGGTATATCAACAGTTGTTTATCCTAGAAGGTATATCAACAGTTGTTTATTTCCCGGAAGGTATATCAACAGTTGTTTTACCCTGGAAGGTATATCAACAGTTGTTTATCCTGGAAGGTATATCAACAGTTGTTTATCCTGGAAGGTATATCAACAGTTGTTTATCCTAGAAGGTATATCAACAGTTGTTTATCCTAGAAGGTATATCAACAGTTGTTTATCCTGGAAGGTATATCAACAGTTGTTTACCCTGGAAGGTATATCAACAGTTGTTTATCCTGGAAGGTATATCAACAGTTGTTTATCCTGGAAGGTATATCAACAGTTGTTTACCCTGGAAGGTATATCAACAGTTGTTTACCCTGGAAGGTATACCAACAGTTATTTATCCTGGAAGGTATATCAACAGTTGTTTACCCTGGAAGGTATATAAACAGTTGTTTATCCTGGAAGGTATAAAAACAGTTGTTTATCCTGGAAGGTATATAAACAGTTGTTTACCCTGGAAGGTATATAAACAGTTGTTTACCTTGGAAGGTATATTAACAGTTGTTTATCCTGGAAGGTATATAAACAGTTGTTTACCCTGGAAGGTATATCAACAGTTGTTTATCCTGGAAGGTATATCAACAGTTGTTTACCCTGGAAGGTATATCAACAGCTGTTTATCCTGGAAGGTATATCAACAGTTGTTTATCCTGGAAGGTATATCAACAGTTGTTTATCCTGGTAGGTATATAAACAGTTGTTTACCCTGGAAGGTATATCAACAGTTGTTTACCCTGGAAGGTATATCAACAGTTGTTTATCCTGGAAGGTATATCAACAGTTGTTTATCCTGGAAGGTATATAAACAGTTTATCCTGGAAGGTATATCAACAGTTGTTTACCCTGGAAGGTATATCAACAGTTGTTTATCCTGGAAGGTATAAAAACAGTTGTTTATCCTGGAAGGTATATAAACAGTTGTTTACCCTGGAAGGTATATAAACAGTTGTTTATCCTGGAAGGTATAAAAACAGTTGTTTATCCTGGAAGGTATATAAACAGTTGTTTACCCTGGAAGGTATATAAACAGTTGTTTACCTTGGAAGGTATATTAACAGTTGTTTATCCTGGAAGGTATATAAACAGTTGTTTACCCTGGAAGGTATATCAACAGTTGTTTATCCTGGAAGGTATATCAACAGTTGTTTACCCTGGAAGGTATATCAACAGTTGTTTATCCTGGAAGGTATATCAACAGTTGTTTACCCTGGAAGGTATATCAACAGGTTATACTCACATAGATGTGGTAGTGAAGACACTCTAACAGTATTGTTCACAACACGTGCGTCACAGCTGGTACAACACCTGTGTCACAGCTGGTACAACACGTGTGTCACAGCTGGTACAACTTCTTCTTGTGTTGGGTTTCAGGGCCACTGACAGAAAACGCCGTATCGAGCCCGGCCGTCCAGTGCTAGGAGAGGGAATATCGACCAAAGTGGAAGAATGTCTTGACTAATAACTATGTATCATATGTCTCTAATACGCCCTGAAGCCACCAGGAAGGAGCAGGTACAGGCCAATATCTCCTGACGGTCCAGAGGGAGAAACCCCTTCCCGTTGAGTAGGACAGGTAGAGTGAAAGTGTGCACCCTAAGGGTGCGCAAGGCCGCAGAGTGATAACGTGGGCACCACAGCAGGAAGTGTTCCACCGTCTCAGGCTGTGAGGGACACCACGGCCAGTATGAAGAGTCCGTCATCAGAAGGCGGTAGAGATGAGCCGCCAGTCGCGAGTGCCAGACTCGAAGGCAAGTCAGTGCAACGTCCACCGAGCGGTTAGGGTGGCGAGCCTAAGGGCAGGGGCCATTAAAAGTTCGGACAGAGCCCAACGCCGAAGAAGAGAGGGAGTGTGCAAGGCCCTCTTGCCACTGATGACGGATTCCCTTCCAAACAGCCCTTGTGAAATCACTGTGTAAAGTAAAAGGACACAAGTGCAACTAATGTGACATTTATTGTGGCAACGTTTTGCTCTCCAGGAGCTTTATCAAGCCATTACAAACAATACATGGACACAGAGGGTCCATACGAACCCATCAGCACTCAACAGTGGGAGACGCTCACCAAAGATTTTCTATACAAAACCAGACAAATACTCAAATGCACTAGAGAAGGGAAGAAACTTCTGTACTTGTTACCAAGCAACCCTAAACCAGCACACATGTATGGTTTACCCAAGACCCATAAACACAATATTCCTCTCAGACCAATCACGTCAGGAATAGGCAGTGCCCCGCACAAACTAGCCGGAGTTCTTGCCAAACATCTTTCCTGCCTTCTGGGGACCATCAGCCCCGCTCATCTTAAACACTCAGGTGACCTTCTCAACCGCATCCGTAACCTCTCCATCCGTAACAAGAAACTAAGCAGTTTGGATGTGACTTCCCTCTTCACAAAAGTACCTACCAAAAAAGCCATCGAGGTTCTACGACGTAAAGTCAATCAGGACCTTAATCTTCCTCTACCTCCCGGAGATTTTGTTGACTTAATTGAACTCTGTGTTAATTTCAACTGTTTTTCTTTCAATAACAAGCTCTACAAACAAACCTACGGCATGGGAATGGGGTCCCCCATAAGTGCCGTCCTAGCCAACTTATACATGGAACACCTAGAGTCCGAACACTTCGCCAACATCATCCCTTCAAGCGTCACTTGGTTACGTTACGTGGACGATGTCCTCGTAATAACTCCAAAACGTTTTGATGTACGGGATCTTCAGGCAAGGCTCAACGCAGTTGAACCGGCGATCCGGTTTACACTAGAAGAAGAGTCCAATGACAAGCTACCTTTCCTCGACGTCCTCATTCACAAAGTAGACAACAACCTAAGATTTCAAGTTTATCGGAAACCCACCAATAAAAATGATCTCACACACTTCTATTCCAGTCAAGATACCAAGACCAAAAGAGGCATCATCATCGGGTTTTTCCTAAGAGCATACCGAATTTGTAGTCCTGAGTTTCTTGACGAGGAGTGTACATACATTCACCAAACATTCACAGAGTTACATTTTCCTTCTTTTTTCATCAAAGACTGCAAGAAAAGGGCTCTTCAGATCATAAATTCTCCACGCATCAACACCACTCCCAGCAAAGTTATAATTCTTCCAACAGTCAGGTTGCACTGAACGTCTCAAAAGCACTTTCACAAGCTAACACCAGAGTCGCCATCGCTTCTAGCACTTCCATAAAGGATATAACCAAGACAAAATCCAAGCACCACGAACCAGTCAATGCAGGAGTTTACACTATACCCTGTGGAGGCTGTGACAAGATTTACGTAGGTGAAACAGCCAGAAACCTCGACACCCGCCTCAATGAACACATTTACGCATGTAGGAACGATAACCTGAACAACGCCTGTGTACAACACCGAAATTCCACCAATCATCTCATGAAATTCAGAGACGCCCAATTAGTGATCAAAGAAACTAATTTCCGCAGACGCAAGTGCCTCGAATCAGCAATGATCGCTGTTTCGAATACAATTAAACAAAACAACGGCAGCTTCACCATCTCCGAAGTCTTAGCAAGAATCCTCCTGAAAACAGTAAACCCTGCCATCACATAGTCTCTCCTGTTATACTACACAAAGCACAGAGAGTGAACACTGAAACAAGCTGCCTCATTCCAGTTTATATTTGTCCAACCTATTTTTATGTTACCCAAGTAATAGCTTTTATATCCTTTTACTCATGTACGAATTAATTGCTCTACCATATTGTATTACTTTTGTCACTACTACTACTACTACTACTACTAGTGAACATCGAAATGGTACCTCACTAGTATTCACCTCACTCTGAGCCTTTATATACCCTCTGTGTCCATGTATTGTTTGTAATGGCTTGATAAAGCTCCTGGAGAGCGAAACGTTGCCACAATAAATGTCACATTAGTTGCACTTGTGTCCTTTTTACTTTACATATTGTCGGTAATTCTACCAACTTTATTGAAATCACTGTGGCCCAGGACAAGAGGGGTAAGAGTAGGAAGTGTGTGCGCGAGGGAGGCCGCCCGATCTGCCACTTCATTACCCCAGATTCCAACATGGGCGGGAACCCAGTGAAGGAAGATGCTCCAACCTGGGCTCCGCAAGAAGCGCAGGAGAGATTGTGTCCGACGAACGAGGACGCACAGTGATCGTAGACGGGCAGAGCACAAAAGTGCCAGGGAAGATTGGGAATCAGAGAAGAGAACCAATGGTTGTGGGGGGAATGTGATCTAAGACAAAAGCCAGAGCCTGGTGAATGGCGAAGAGCTCCCCTGCCAGAACAGAATGAGCAGGGTCCAACCACCACGTTTGACACAGGGAGAGATTAGCGAAGAAGGCTGCAAATGATGTAGAAGGGGGAGGGGACCGTGCCGAGCCATCTGTGTAGATGGAGAATGAAGAACCATGTGTAACAGAGCGAAACTTTTCAAATAGAAATGCAACTAACTGAGGGGGTTCCCTGTTCCTGTAGTGCCAATCCAGGTGAATGTATCGTGTCAGGTCCAGCCAAGGGGGTGCCGGGAGTGGAGAGGGGAGGGAGTCATCACAAATGAAGGAAGAGTAAGGCAGGTCAGGGAACGCTGGGCCCTGGCTATAAAGGAAGGCTGAACCAAACGTGGGGGGACAGAGGCTGTCTCCCACATCTGTGAAGAGAGGTGACAGGGGTGAGTACAAGGCAGAGAGGCCATATGATGGAGTCGTGAACAGTTCCTCGCTGTCCTCACCGACGAGAGAGGGACTATCCCCGATTCTGCCTCCAAGGCTGCGATAGGGGTAGAGGGGAATGCCCCCAGCATATTATGGATGGCTGAATTCTGGAGAATGTCTAAGCGATGAAGAGAGGAGGAAGAAGCCGAGCCATACACCTCACTCGCATAAGTGAGCTTGCTGCAAACCATAGCTGTATAGAACTTATAGAGGTCTCGATCCGCCCCCCCCCACTTGGTGCCAGAGATCCGGCGCATAAGTGCAATGCGACATGCACACGAGAGGTGGAGGGCCGCTATGTGTTTCTTCCATGTCAAGAATGGTGCATCTAAGGTGACTCCCAACCAACGATGAGAGGAGACCAAAGGTATTGGCATCTCGTTCAATGAGACTGATGGAAGAGTGGGGAGTTGGCGTCTAGTAAAGCATAAGAACTTGGACTTAGTGTCACTATCCTCCAACACCCAGGTGGTAGCCCATGATGTTATGCATTGCAGGGCACCGTGAAGTGTTTCCTGTGCTGTCAGTAAAGCCGGGGCACTTCACATAAGAGCCACATCATCCGCATATACCAGGGTATGCACTCCCTGGATGGAAGGGAGATCCGACAATAAGACAGAGAAAAGGAGTGGGCTAAGAACAGATCCCTGGGGTACTCCCCGGTATACAGGATGGGGTGAGGACAAAGTGCCACCCACTGCTACACGAAAGGTCCTCCCTTGCAAAAAGTTGTGCATCTAGCAGAGGGGAGCTCCTGTCAGCCCCATGTGGGCCAGCTTGAAAACAATTGCTGTGTGTGATACAGAGTCAAATGCTCTGTGTAGGTCCAAAAATACAGCCAAAAGGAACTCCCGGCATTCAAATGAAGTGTGCACAAGCTGTGTAAATTGAAGCAAAGGGTCGAGGGTGGATCAACCTTCTCAAAAGCCACTCTGGTTATCAGGCAGGAGGCCATGTTCCTCAGTCCACCAGGAGAGATGAGTAGCCACCAGTCGTTCCAGCACCTTACCCAAGCAGGGCAATAGAGCAATGGGCCGGTAAGAGCTCGGTTGGGTATCATCCTTGCCCGGCTTTAGAATCAGAATCAGAAGTGTGTGTTTCCACATATCAGGGAAGACACCTGTATACCAGCTGGTATTGAAAACCTCCAGCATAGCTTCTGTACAAGAGGGAGGTAGATGTAGTATAAATGAATAGGGTAAGTGCGGGAAGAAAGTTGGGAAAGTACCCACTGCAGTTCATGGGAGTTAAAGGGAGACACCAGCACCTGGCAGTGAACCTCGGGTACGGCAGGTGGCAAAGGGCCCCATTTGATCACCTTAGAGGGTAGAGGAGGAGGAGGAGGAGAAAACATAGGACCGAAGAAATTTGCAAATGTCTCAGTCTTGTCCTGGGGTAAGAGTGGAGTCACTCCTTCCCCCAGCAGTGGAAAAGTACTTACAGAACGTGATCCCAACATGGAGTGGAAAAAAACCCATGCCTGACTGGCAGAGGTGCGAAAAGAAAGAGAAGAACAAAATAAAGCCCAGGATGCACGTTTCACTTGGAGGAGGGTTAGCCGACAAAGAGCGTCTGCCCTTCGGTAAGCCAACTGCTGAGTCAGAGAGGGTTGGCACTGCCACCATGCCCATGCTGTCCGACGCGCCTTCACTGCTCAGAGGCACTCATCATTCCACCATGGAACCTGGGGGCGTGAA